AGTGATACCACCTCATTTGAATAATATTGTTTCTATTTACCTTTTGCAATTATGATTGCAGGTTGCACTGATACTTCATCAGGAAAAAGGTGCAGAGAAATGCATTGCTGTGAATGATGGCTTGATTCAATGGCCATCTCTGCCGTTGCCCGTGGCATGCCTGAACAACGTTAGGATTAAACTCTGCTGATGTACACTTTGAACATAACACAGTGCCTTCTATTCATTTAACAAAAGCTCCGGGAATGAAAAGAGAAACAAACCTCGAGCGCTCCACCTTCTTTCTGTTCAACCAGGAAACCATAAGAAGCGAGTAAAAAGCAAAGATTTGGCGCAGTATCACGTCTACCTGTCCAAGACTCGGAACTCTAAATCTGGCAAGGAAGAAATATCGCTGTTATGGATCTCCATCATTTTTTGACAGTCGTGCTTTTGCTCTTATGGCTTCAGAAGGCCAGGATCTGTGATGGTAAGTCCATGATATGAAGCCACTTTGATTGATGTGTGCGTGCACTATGTGCCTTCAAGTCATCCATTATTATGTATTTATCGTGTCAGTGCAATCAGTCGATTATATTACATTTCTAACAGAACAAAGCAAAAAAACAGGCAAAATACAAAATGTGTGAGTTTGGTAGTTGATTAAATGTCCTTTGACCAGTATCTGGCCACTTGGATTGCCTCTGGTGTTCCTGCAAGAAGGTCCTCCATGGTGCATGTGGCAGGGCTCAGGGTGCATTGCAGCAGGTGGTCAGTGGTTTGCTCTTCTCCGCACTCGCATGTCGTGGATTCCACTTTGTGGCCCCATTTCTGAAGGTTGGGTCTGCATCTTGTGGTGCCAGAGCGCAGTCTGTTCAGCACCTTCCAAGTCTCCCAGTCCTCTGTGTGCCCAGGGGGGAGTCTCTCATTTGGTATCAGCCATTGGTTGAGGTTCTGGATTTCAGCCTGCCACTTTTGGACTCTCGATTGCTGAGGTGTTCTGGCGAGTGTCTCTGTAGATCTTAGAAAACTATTTCTTGATTTGAGTCGTTGACGTGCTGGCTGATACCCAAACAAGGGATGAGCTGGAGATGTCTCTGACTTGGTCCTTTCACTATTGGCTGCTACTTCCCGGCGGATGTCAGGTGGTGCAATACCGGCTAGGCAGTGTAATTTCTCCAGTGGTGTAGGGCGCAGGCACCCCGTGATAATGCGGCATGTCTCATTAAGAGCCACATCCACTGTTTTAGCGTGGTGAGATGTGTTCCACACTGGGCATGCATACTCAGCAGCAGAGTAGCACAGCAGAAGGGCAGATGTCTTCACTGTATCTGGTTGTGATCCCCAGGTTGTGCCAGTCAGCTTTCGTATGATATTGTTTCTTGCACCCACTTTTTGCGTGATGTCATCCATTGACTTATGGTGACTGCATGGATTTCATTGGGTTTCTTCAAGCAAGGGATATTTGGAGGTGGACTCCCATCCGAATGCAAGCCAGGGCTGGCCCTGCTTAGCTTCAAAGATCAGTCAAGATCTGGTACCTTTAGAGTAGGTATTTAAGCCATGTGTCTGTGTGTGTGTGCATATGTACTTTTGGGTTACTTGTCAACTTCTGGCAACCCCATGGATTTCATAGGGCAGTAGTTCTCAACCTTCCTAATGCCAAGACCCCTTAGTACAGGTCCTCCTGTTGTGGTGACCCCCAACCATAACATTATTTTCGCTGCTACCTCATAATCGTAATTTTGCTACTGTTATGAATTGCAATGTAAATATCAGATATTCAGGATGTATCTTCATTCACTGGACCAAATTTGCCACAAATATCCAATACGCCCAAATCTGAATATTGGTGGGGTTGGAGGGGAGGGATTGATTTTGTCATTTGGGAGTTGTAGTTGCTGGGATTTATAGTTCACCTACAATCAAAGAGCAGTCTGAACTCCACCAATGATGGAATTGAACCAAACTTGGCACACAGAATTCCCATGACCAACAGAAAATACTGGAAGGGTCTGGTGCTGTTGGCTGTCTCCCATCCAAGTACTAGCCAGGGCTGACCCTGCTTAGCTTCCAAGATCAAACGGGATCTTTGGGAGTTTGAGGTCATGTGTAAGCATAGAAATGTGTGTTTCAGGTGATGGCAGGCGAACTCTCCAGTTCTGGAATGGGATTTGGAGAATATCACAGGTCTAGGGTCTCTGTTTTTCTGCCTGAGGGCCACACAGACAGCCCATGGTATCCACGGATGCTCTGCTCATGGATTCAAGCATCCACAGCTTGAAAATCCAAAAAGCAAACTTTGATTTTGCCATTTAATGTCATTGCTACCACTTTACGATACCATTGTACATAATGAGACTTGAGCATCCACAAATGTTGCTGGGATTTATAGTTCACTTACAATCAAAGAGCATTCTGAACCCCACCAATGACAGAATTGGGCCAAACTTGGCACAGAGAACTCCCATGACCAACAGAAAATACTGGAAGGGTTTGGTGGGCATTGACCTTGAGTTTTGGAGTTGTAGTTCACCTACATCCAGAGAGCACTGTGGACTCAAACAATGATGGATCTGGATCAAAATTGGCATGAATGCTCAATAATGTGAACACTAGTGGAGTTTGGGGAAAAGAGACTTGACATTTGGGAGTTGTAGTTGCTGGAATTTATAGTTTATTTACAGTCAAAGAGCATTCTGAACCCCATCAACAATGAAATTGAACCAAACTTGGCACACAGTTCTCCCATGACCAACATAAAATACTGGAAGTGTTTGGTGGGCATTTACCTTGAGTTTTGGAGTTGTAGTTCACCTACATCCAGAGAGCACGTGGACTCAAACAATAATGGATCTGGACCGAAGTTGGCATGAATATGCAATATCCCCAATTATGAACACTGGTGGAATTTTGGGGAAATAAACCTTGACATTTGGGAGTTGTAGTTGCTGGGATTTATAGTTCACTTACAATCAAGTAGCATTCTGAACCCAACCAATGATAGAATTGGGCCAAACTTCCCACACAGAACCACCATGGTGATCTTTGGTGACCCCTCTGACACCCCCCCCAGGGGTCCCGACCTCCAGGTTGAGAAACATTGTATTAGGTAATATGGCAAATATAAGAGTTATCGGGAGAGAAAGAGAGGGAGAGAGAAAATGAATTCACTAATATATTTTATCTTGCTATGTAAACTCTAATAACTGTTGGGAAGAAGAATTGACTAAGTCAATAGCTATACAGAGAAAAGGCATTTTTGAGGACAATTTTAATAGAAAGGGATATTGAGTCCAATTCTGGGCACCACAATTCAAGACAGATGTTGACAAGCTGGAATGTGCCCAGAGGAGGGCAACTAAAATGATCAAGGGTCTGGAGAACAAGCCCTATGAGGAGCGGCTTAAGGAGCTGGGCATGTTTAGCCTGAAGAAGAGAAGGCTAAGAGGAAACATGATAGCCATGTATAAATACATGAGAGGAAATCATAGGGAGGAGGGAGCGAACTTGTTTTCTGCTTCCCTGGAGACTAGGATGCGAAACAATGGCTTCAAACTACAAGAAAAGAGATTCCATCTGAACATGAGGAAGAACTTCCTGACTGTGAGAGCTGTTCAGCAGTGGAACTCTCTGCTCCGGAGTGTGGTGGAGGCTCCTTCTTTGGAAGCTTTTAAACAGAGGATGGATGGCCATCTGTCAGGAGTGATTTGAATGCAATATTCCTGCTTCTTGGCAATGTGTTGGACTGGATGGCCCATGAGGTCTCCTCCAACTCTAGGATTCTATGATTCTATGATTGGGAAAGACAGAGTAGGCAAAATAAATTATCCTTCTATCTCACTACCTCTGAGGATGCTTGCCATAGATGCAGGCGAAACGTCAGGAGAGAATGCCTCTAGAACAGTGTTTCTCAACCTGGGGGTCGGGACCCCTTTGGGGGTCGCAAGGCGGTGTCAGAGGGATCCCCAAAGACCATCAGAAAACATAGTATTTTCTGTTGATGGGGTTCTGTGTGGAAAGTTTGGTCCAATTCTATTATTGGTGGGGTTCAGAATGCTATTTCATTGTGGGTGAACTATAAATCCCAACAACTACACTCCCAAATGGCAAGGTCTATTTTCTCCAAACTCTACCAGTGTTCACATTTGGGCATATTGAGTATTTGTGCCAAGTTTGATCCAGATCCATCATTGCTTGAGTCCACAATGTTCTCTGGATGTAGGTGAACTACAACTCCAAAAACTCAAGGTCAATGTCCACCAGACCTTCCCAGTATTTTCTCTTGGTCATGGGAATTCCGTGTGCCATGTTTGATTCAATTCCATTATTGATGGAGTTCAGAAGGCTCTTTGATTTAAGGTGAACTATAAATCCCAGCAACTCCAGCATTACCAAATGACAAAATCAATCACCCCCAACCCCACCAGTATTCAAATTTTGGGCATATTGGGTATTTGTGCCAAATTTGGTCCAGTGACTTAAAATACATCCTGCATATCAGATATTTACATTACAATTCATAACGGAGCAAAATTAGAGTTATGAAGTAGCAATGAACATAATGTTATGGTTGGGGGTCACCACAACATGAGGACCTGTACTAAGGGTCGTGGCATTAGGAAGGTTGAGAACCACTGCTCTAGACCATGGCCATATAGCCCGAAAAAACCTACAACAACCCAGTGATTCCGGCCATGAAAGCCTTTGACAATACATTACCCTTCTATTGCTCGCAAAGATATATAATTAACACAAACTGGTTGCCAAAGACAAGAGTAAACAAGGGCTTGGATACATCACTTTTTTGGATGACAAGTTCTAGTATCCTCCAAATAGCATGGCCAAGAAAGTAACTTTCCCAAGCCCAGTTCACAGAAAGCCACTTCTATGTGACCCAATGGTTTGTCCAAGTCTAGAATTTGATTGGACTCCGTTTTTGGGAATTTTGATCTTTGTTTTGTACTGTAAGATGAGCCACATTGATCAGTCGTTTCCTCTTTCCTGTCCAGGTGAAACCACAGCGGAGAGCACACCTCTTCCTGATATAACTACAGCAGGTTTCTCAACTACTATGACGATAATGGAAACCAGTACTACAACAGATGTGACTACCACAACGCTAAGAGAAAAGAACAATACGATCAGTACCACCGTTGAAAACACAATCTTAGAAGAGACATCTTCTCATGTTCGAGACACATCGATTGCCACATCTGAAGAAACATCAGTCACTCCAGAACCAGGACATTTCTCTTCCTCTTCAGGTGAAACTACAAGTAAGCTCAGCCTTTTAAGTCAGACTACAGCAACTCAACGTTCCCCATTCATGGTGGAGACCACAGAGGACGTGACAAGCATCCCTTTCACCAGGTCGCCATCTGAAATAACAGCTTATATGACTCATCCCATTAGTACGGCTGAGGAATTACTGCTCACACCTACAACACCGACACCCGATTCCTTTTCACCTCTTGAAACAACAACTACCACTGGCATTTTGACAGATGAGGACACTGCTAGTCCTTCAGCAGAAGTAGATGCCAGAACTATAGAAGTAGATGCTACCAGCTCCTTCTTTAACATCTCATCTGTTGAAACTCCACCAGCCTTCCATATCTCTACAGATGTCACTCCAACAACTCTCCATTCAGTTACATCACCACTTGAAGCAACAACTGCTGAAACTCCACCTACCTTGATTCTAACTTCAGAATCCAGTTCATCTACCTTAAGTCCTACTTGGTCACACACTTCTACAGCCCTTTCTTCCCCTCCATCTACCTTGAGCACCACTCCAGAACTTACTTCACCTACCTTGAACACCACTCCAGAACCCACACATTCTACTTTGATTCCTACTCCAGAAACTACTGCACCTGCATTGAGCACCGTTCCAGAACCCACTCGATTTACTCACTTGAGCACCTCTTCAGAACCCATGTCATCTACTTTGATTCCCACTCCAGAATCCTCTTCATCTACCTTGAACACAACTCCAGAACCTATTCCATTTACCTTGAACACCACTCCAGAATCCACTCCAGCTACCTTGATTCCCACTCCAGAATCTACTCCACCTGCCTTGGGCACCACTCCAGAACTCACTCAATCTACTTTGAATACCACTTCATCTACCTTGATTCCCACTCCTGAATCCTCTTCATCTGCCTTGACCATCAGTTCAGAACCCACTCCATCTACTTTGAGCACCTCCCCAGAACCCACTTCATCTACTTTGAGCACCTCCCCAAAACCCACTCCATCTACTTTGAGCACCTCCCCAGAACCCACTCCATCTACTTTGAGCACCTCCCCAGAACCCACTCCATCTACTTTGAGCACCTCCCCAGAACCCACTTCATCTACCTTGAGTCCTACTTTACCACCCACTTCAGCTCCATTTACTTTCAACACCACCATGAAACCCATTTCTATAGCCCTCTCATCCATTACATCAGCACCCGAAACAACACCTGAAACAGCACCTGAAACAGCACCTGAAACAGCACCTGAAACAACAGCACCTGAAACATCTCCCTTGAGCACCACTCCAGAAACTACTCCATCTGCCTTGAGCACCACTCCAGAACCCAGTTCATCTGCCTTGAGCACCACTCCAGGACCCACTCCATCTTCCTTGAGCACCACTCCAGGACCCACGTCATCTACCTTGAGTCCTACTTTACCACCCACTTCAGCTCCATTTACTTTCAACACCACCATGAAACCCGTTTCTATAGCCCTCTCATCCATTACATCAGCACCTGAAACAACAGCTTCTTCTGGCACGTTAGCAGATGAAGTCACAACTGTTACTTCAAGTGAAATAGGTACTAGCTCTACAGTCGGTACAACTACTGCTAACAGTTCAGCTGCTGAAACTCCATCTACCTTCAGAACCACTGTAGAACCCAGTTCTATAGCCCTCACTTCCCTTACAACGACAATTTTTACCACCTCACCTCTTGGAACCACATCTATTTTTACCACCACCCCAGAGATGACCTCAACAGCTCCCCATTTACTTACAACAACCCTTGAAACAATAACCACCAGCAGCATTTTTGAAGATTGGAACTCAACTAGGACTTCTGGAGAAGCAGCTACCACCATTATAGTAGATACTACCACCAAAGCCCCTTCACCAACTCCTACTACTGTGTTGATGAAAACGACAACTACTATAGCCAGTGCCAGCAGAATCACCACCAGTAATTTGGACAAAGTGGCTTCTACCCCAAGAGATGTCACTACCACCATCAGCACCTCAGCAGCTAAAACACAAAGATCTTCAGTTGCCACCACTGCTAATGCCACGCTGGATGGATTAAGAGCTACGACAAAAGTCCGAACCTCACCAGGTACCACCACATCTTGGCCAACCAGCCAACAGCCATTGACACCTGATCTAGGTAAGTGCGTTTTGCACCTCTTTGAAGAGCTGAAGGTGGAACCTCCACCCAAAAGACTGAGGTCCAAGCATGGAATGCTGCTTATGTAAGATCAGATGTAGCTAAGCTAGGCTTTCCTTGGTGTCCGGTCTAAATCTAATGCTTATTTTTATAGTCAATAGACCCAAAAGGAACTTTAAGTTAAGAGTGGAGAAAGTACACAAGTGAGGTTCTTCTCCAAACTATATTTTCACTCGTAGCATATCAAAAATTCAAACTAAGTACCTCTGTCCAGACAAGACAGAGGTCCTCCTGGTCAGTCGAAAGGCTGAACAGGGCATAGGGTTACAGCCTGTGTTGGATGGAGTTACACTCCCCCTGAAGACGCAGGTTTGCAGCTTGGGTGTGATCCTGGATTCATCACTGAGCCTTGGAACCCCAGGTTTCGGCGGTGACCAGGGGAGCATTTGCACAGTTAAAGTTTGTGCACCAGCTGTGCCCGTGTCTTGGGAGGTCCGACTTGGCCACAGTAGTCCACGCTCTGGTTACATCCCGTATAGACTACTGCAATGTGCTCTACTTGGGGTTGCCTTTGAAGACTGTCCGGAAGCTTCAAATGGTCCAGCGGGCGGCAGCTAGGTTACTAGTGGGAGCAGCGCTCAGGAAGCACACAACTCCTATATCTATCACCCATTTTACTGTGTTTCCTTTTACTAATTCCTTCTCTGTGTCCCATTGAGTTATGTTAATCCAACAAACGAACATTACATTTTTATTTATATATTTTATTTTATTCCATTTATTATTATTATTATTATATTTACATTATTATACTTGTGCTGTCGCACGCTGGACCTTTGCATAAGACTGTAGACAGGACATAAATTCTGTGTGCCCAACGGGATGCCGGGGCTGCCTCAGATTAAAGGCCTTTGGATTTCCTTGCACAAAGTTCTATAGAGGCTTAAAGTAAGTCCAACAAAGTTCTTTATTAATAAAAAAAAACAGGTACCTACTTTAAAGCTTTCTTAACAGTCTATTGGCTCTTTCTCAATCTTGTCCACAGGGAACAGGCACTATCTTCATAACTGTACCTAATGGGGAAATCCTTAACTTCTAATCTGGGCAGTCTGTCTTTGCCTCTGTTGGCGTGGAGCCCCTGCACCCGGTACCAACTGCTTCTGGCTTCCGAGAGTGACCCTTACCAAGCAGAGCTTTGTAGACTTCCAGGGGAAAAGAAGGAGTTCAGGTTTCAGTGATGGCTGGCTGAAGTGCTGTGGGACCGGATTCCCTCAGCAAAGGAGCTGTGAGGCTGCATGATCCTCGGCCAAGCTGTGGGCTGTATAATCCCGGCCAAGCCGTAGAAAATGAAGCTTTCTACAGGAGCTCTTGGTATTATGTCCTGCATGAAAAGCTTCTGTGTGGACTGAACCCAAACTGGCTCCTATTCCCTCCAAAACCCAAAAAGGGGCGGGACCAGGGAACCTAACTATAATTGACAGGTGGCTTGCCCTATGATTGCAGCCAAAAGAAGCCACCTATCTGCAGAGTCCCTGAAACTTAGGACTACAACAAACATTCAATGCAAAGCAAACAAAATTGGAGCTCCTGGTACAGTTGTACCTGCACGATACTCTTACTATTTTACTGTATTTATTATTGTATTATTACATTTATTATTTTACTCTATTATTATTGGAAGGATCCGTAAGCACATTTACATTGAAGAAGGTGAGAATAATGGTTTCATCAGAGTTGGACAGTCTTGCCTTAAATTACAGTTTTATTTAAATATTCAAAAGCATTTAACCTACTGATGCCTCAATTAATATAATTTTATTGGTATCTATTTTTATTTTGAAATTGACCAGTAGCTGCTGCATTTCCCACCATCGGCTTATACTCGAGTCAATTCGTTTTCTCAGTTTTTTTGTGGTAAAAATTAGGTGCCTCGGCTTATATTTGGGTCGGGTTATACTCAAGTATATACGGTATTTCCATGAACTTTCTGCCAACTTGCTTTCGCTGCATCCAATAAATCGCCATCCCCAGTGCCCCCATTGCACATGTGTTTCCTGCACCAAATAGTTTGCAATGAGACTTTCCAAGAAGCAAATACCTCTTGGGCATTGCGTGGACATCTCCCTTTTCTCCCTGAACAGAATATTCATCCTTTTCACAAGATGATAAGAAAGTGAACACACTTGCAGATATTCTCAAAGTTTATCTTGGAGTTGGCAAATGCCCCTTGCTTGGAAAGAGGGAGGTTTGCTCAGAAGGATTGGTGTATACCACGTGATACAAATGCTGTAATGAATTAACCGGTTTCTCTCCCATTGCTAGGAAAGGTACGATTCATCTTGTCCATGCACCTGGCCACATCCATGAACATCACGGACCCCGCCGTCAGAGACGCCGTTGTGAAGAAGGTGAGATCTTATGGGTATAATTTCCTTGAAATTAGACCATCCAGGTGAGGTGAGCCCTTCCTTGGAGAAAGGTGATACTTCTGGGGAATGCCTTCATAGAGATCTCCTCCGAGGCATATCTTCTTCAATTGCAAATCTAATTCTACTCACAACCATGAATCAGGGTGGGAATACTATGGCCAATGTATTGTCGAAGGCTTTCATGGCTGGAATCACTGGGTTGTTGTAGGTTTTTTCGAGCTATATGGCCATGTTCTAGAGGCATTCTCTCCTGACGTTTCGCCTGCATCTATGGCAAGTGTCCTCAGAGGTAGTGAGGTCTGTTGGAACTAGGGAAAAGGGTTTATATATCTGTGGAATGACCAGGGTGGGACAAAGGACTCTTGTCTGCTGGAGCTAGGTGTGAATGTTTCAACTGACTATCTTGATTAGCATATAATGGCCTCTGGAGCCCCCGGTGGCGCAGTGGGTTAAACCCCTGTGCCGGCAGGACTGAAGACGGACAGGTCACAGGTTCGAATCCGGGGAGAGGCGGATGAGCTCTCTCTATCAGCTCCAGCTCCTCATGCGGGGACATGAGAGAAGCCTCCCACAAGGATGATAAAAACATCAAATCATCTGGGCGTCCCCTGAGCAACGTCCTTGCAGACGGCCAATTCTCTCACAACAGGAGCGACTTGCAGTTTCTCGGGTCGCTCCTGACGCGACAAATAATAATAATAATAATAATAATAATAATAATAATAATAATAATAATATAATGGCCTAACAGTGCCTAGAGCAACTTTTGTTGAGAGGTGATTAGATGTCCTTGTTTGTTTTCTCTCTGTTGTGCTGTTGTAATTTCAATTTCAACAGAAAGGAGGAAACCATGAAAATGAACAAAATCTGGCTACCAGTATTAAAAAAACTCTAAAATTACAGCTGTTTTTTGAAAGTGGGGAGGGAGGGGGCCATCTTTAGCTCCTTAGAAAGGGAGTTCTAGAGGTGGGGAGCAGCCACAGAGAAGACCCTTTCTCTCATTCCCAACAGCCATGCTTGGGAGGGGGGTGGAATGCGGTCCTCCGATGACCGCAGTGTCCGGGTTGGTCTGTAGAGGGAGATGCGGTTTGTCAAATAGTCTGAACCTAAGCCGTTTAGGGCTTTAAAGGTAAGAACCAGCACTTGGTATTTAGTTCAGAGGCAGACTAGCAGCCAGTGGAGTTGCCGCAACATGGGAGTGGTTCTCTCCCTGAACGGCACTCCAGTTAGTAACCTGGCTGCAAATCTCTGGACCATTTGAAGCTTCCGAACTATCTTCAAATGCAGCCCCACGTAGAGAGCGTTGCAGTAGTCCAAACGGGATGTGACTAAGGCTTGGACTACCATGATTAGGATTATGTAAATAGTCAAAGTAAGAAGGGAAGAAACATTCTGTATTAGCTTTCGATCCAGTCTAAATGCAAATTCCTTTATGTTTCATATATACCTAATACATGGAGCCTGAAGAGCCCCCGGCGGTACAATGGGTTAAACCCTTGTGCCGGCAGGACTGCTGACCAAAAGGTTGGCGGTTCGAAGCCAGGGAATTGGGTGAGCTCCCATCTGTCAGCTCTAGCTTCCCACACAGGAAACATGAGAGAAGTCTCCCACAGGATGGTAACACATCCAGGCATCCCCTGGGCAACCTCCTTGCAGACAGCCAATTCTCTCATACCAGAAGCGACTTGCAGTTTGGGTTGTTGTAGGTTTTTTTGGGCTATATGGCCATGTTCAGAAGCATTCTCTCCTGACGTTTCACCTGCATCTATGGCAAGCATCCTCAGAGGTTGTGAGGATGCTTGCCATAGATGCAGGCGAAATGTCAGGAGAGAATGCCTCTAGAACATGGCCATATAGCCCGAAAAAACCTACAACAACCCAGTGATTCTGGCCATGAAAGCCTTCGACAATACATTGACTTGCAGTTTCTCGAGTTGCTCCTGACACACACACACATACACACACAAAAGCAGAGCCTGAAGGTCATTTTATACAGAATATTTCAAATAATTTTGCTCTGGGGGTACACTGAACCATTTGAAAACAAAGGTTTCTATGTCCCCCCCCCCCCCCCCCCAAAGTGACATCACTGTTTGAAAAATTAGGGAGTTGTCGAAGGCTTTCATGGCCGGAATCACTGGGTTGTTGTAGTTTTTTTTGGGCTATATGGCCATGTTCTAGAGGCATTCTCTCCTGACGTTTCGCCTGCATCTATGGCAAGCATCCTCAGAGGTATGGCAAGCATCCTCACCTCACCTCACTACCTCTGAGGATGCTTCGACAATACAAGGAAGATTCAACCTGTATTTATGTTTCCTCTCCTGCAGTTCCATCAAGATTTGGATGCCAGGTTTCCCGGTGCCGGCTTCCGGTTAAAATGGCTAGAGTAACAGCAGGGATGAGTGGGAAATCACTGGAAGACCCACAACTTTCGGAACTGAAGATAGAAGGCATCTAAATGGAGGAGAGGAGAATATTCATTGTCATTGTCATCCAAGCACCAGTTCTGACATGATCTTGTGCAACCATTTTGGTCTCAATCCAGGCAGTATTCTGATATGTGTCATGAATAACTTTTCAATAACTTTAAATCATTGGTTCTTTTTATTGCAATTTCCAGTGTGAGAGGGTAGATCAGAATGTTTACAGAACTTTTACACAAAGAATGACATTGGACATACAGATATACAGATTCTATGCAACTACATTGGATTTACAATTACATGGCTAGCAAACAAGCAAAGGGGAATTACATTTTTAATCACCATTCAGACACATAGAATCATAGGATCAAAGAGTTGGAAGAGACCTCATGGGCCATCCAGTCCAACCCCATTCTGCCAAGAAGCAGGAATATTGCATTCAAATCACCCCTGACAGATGGCCATCCAGCCTCTGTTTAAAAGCTTCCAAAGAAGGAGCCTCCACCACACTCCGGGGCAGAGAGTTCCACTGCTGAACGGCTCTCACAGTCAGGAAGTTCTTCCTCATGTTCAGATGGAATCTCCTCTCCTGTAGTTTGAAGCCATTGCTTCCATTGCGTCCTAGTCTCCAGGGAAGCAGAAAACAAGCTTGCTCCCTCCTCCCTGTGGCTTCCTCTCACATATTTATACATGGCTATCATATACATGTGTTCATCCCCATGCATTCAAAAATCACCATATCCTTTTCTCCTTCTTTGGAGAAGCACCAGTTTAGGCCAGACCCTGCTTTCCTGTAGCCTGCCTATGCACAGTTCCAAAACTTCCACAACTTCAAAACTTCTTTCCTACGCACAATGCCAAGGACCAGATCTCTGTTTTCCATGCAGCAGAACCTGACTCCCTGCACACAATCTAAGACTCCAAAACACACTTCTTCCTCTTCCCTTGAGAAAGAAGCCCCAAAGTGACCAGACTGCTCCCATGCAAATCTGCCACTCTCCAAATGCATCATCTCTCTCCTTCCCATGGAGCTGAGCATAGCGGGTGGAACAGACTCCTCAGGTCTGCCACACTTTGAGCATTATTAGATTGAGTATTTTATAGGAATATTCTGCTGATGTTATCCCAAAGTTGTAAATTAATGATAGACATCTTCCATTCTGGCTCCATCTAATTTTCCTGGACAGATGTTGATTCTTCTCGATTGGTGTTAGCCTTGTGTTGACTTCCTTCTTGACATAAGGAATATTGTAAACATTTCCTTATCACTGTCACAGTTTGACGGCGCGTCAGGTCCCACTTGTATGTGAATGTATAGCTAAATTGTTTGGTTATCTACAGCTGTCTATCAATGTTGTTTTGCACTGGTTAAATTGCTCCCCCAGCCCAATTGTTTCTGGTTTCTTCTGGATTGATCAGATCAGAACGTTTACAGAACTTTTACACAAAGAATGACATTGGACATACAGATATACAGATATACAGATTCTGGCACCACGAGATGCAGAGCCAACCTTCAGAAATGGGGCTACAAAGTGGAATCCATGACATGTGAGTGTGGAGAAGAGCAAACCACTGACCACCTGCTGCAATGCAACCTGAGCCCTGCCACATGCACAATGGAGGACCTTCTTGCAGCAACACCAGAGGCACTCCAAGTGGCCAGATACTGGTCAAAGGACATTTAATCAACTATCAAACTCACAAATTTTGTATCTTGTTTGTTTGTTTGCTTTGTTCTGTTAGAAATGTAATATAATTTGACTGGTTGTTCTGACACAACAAATAAAATAATAAATAGCCCAATTGTTTGGCTCCGCCCCTTCCTGGGGAAGAGGGCAGTGCTTTCTTTTCATTTCATCATCAAACAGCTCAGCAGATGGACGTGAGAAAGGCTTGGCTCTAAAGCCCTCAGTCAAGTCATCTCTTATCACCAATTCTTAAGTTTGTACTCTTAAGATTCATTCTTCATATCCAGCTCACCTGGACAACGTTGCAGAATCTTAAGCGCCTTCAAACCAGTCCTTTGGCATCAAGAGGAAGGCTTTGTGCCTTCAATAATAGGTCATTGGACTGGGGTTGTGAATGTCCCAACTTTCGCAGCCATTGAGAAAGAGGGAACTTGGAAAGCTTCTCAGCTGTAAAACTCTTTGGACCCAAGACTCCAGAGACTGTAATGTATGTTTTCTTCACCCCTTTTGAAATATCAATTTTATGCCTAAGGAAGATAACTCATTGTGAACAATAAAGCCTATTCCGAGTTAGTTAGTGCCTTGATCCTTGAGAGTTCCAGTTCTCTAAAGGAGGGCAAGGAGCAATCCCCTGGGGAAAAGATGCCACGTCCATGTTTCTTTCACTAAGAACTATATCCCCCAGGTGTGACGGCATACACAGTTATTATCACAGTTTGCTTTTTAGTTCTCATTAGCAGGTTTTAATTACAATCCAGCAAACAGGTTTTGTCATTGCAGGCCTTGGTCTTTTAGAATTGGTGTCTCCAAAATTATTAACTCCCTTCATTCATTCTTCCATTCAGTTCAAGAAATACACTCCCTTCTTCTATTCGTGTATCTATAACGTAGAATTAAAGCAGTTTGACAGGACTTTACAGCATAAAGCTATGGAATCCTGGGAGCTGTGTTTTACAAGGTCTGTGGCCTGCACCAAAAACATTTGGTGATGTTCCAAATATCCCCCATTTATCATACTTCCAGTAATTAACTGGAAATCTAGCCAAGAAGGAAAAAGAATGTGTTATGTTTCAAAAGAAATGCCTTTTATGGCAGTATGGATAAGCCTTCAATGTACAAGGAAGTAAACAAGGAAAAAGGATTCTGTTCTGTGAAGGCAACAGTGGAAAAAACTAGAAGCCTCGATGTCCCATCTAAGACTTTAAAAAAAGCTTTGCAACACCTGGGGCCATTTGTGTCCAACTTAACGGATCATGGCTCTGCCTAAATCGGTGACGCCATTACGGGCAACGCCTCCGCAGGTCTCCAGTTCATTAATCTGGAAAGCTACTGGGAGGACGTGAAGGCAAGGCAGCCCTCCCTTTTATTCCCGTTCCCTTCACCTGGGACCAGGTTATGCAAGAGCCTGGTCACCTATTAACACTTCAATCAGTTTGGGGAAATCAGTCCAAACAAACCTCTGAATGCCAACCGTTTGGCCTAAATGTCACCTTGGAAGAATGTCACCAGGACTTTGGAGAGCTGGTATGGCCTCCGAGGTTCATAATTAAATCGATTTGTTGCCAGTATAGGATCCCACAGATAGGATGGACTTGACAAGTAAGTTTCCTTACTCAACAGGAACACGAATTTGCAGGTTATCATAGTATATCATAGTAGAGTTGGAAGGGTCTCTAGAGTCCATCTAGTCCAGTGGTTCTCAATCTTCCTATAAGCAATCCCTTGTGGCCAAGTCTCATTTCGCCCTTTTGCCCTCCATTTGTGCCTCTCCAAATTCCGGAGCACTGTTGGTCACAGCTGAACTCCAGTTCCAATGCCAGAGTTTCCCGTTTTCTCTCTGTGTTTATATCACTTTATACAAGTTTACTTCTGAGCTCTCCAAGTGCAGCATTTTTCTGAATGAAGCAGAGAATGTTTGAAGATCAGGACCTCCGTAGGGACACCAAGGTGCTTCTTAATAAAGCCATTGTCCTCCCAACTCTGTTATACACCTGCGAAACATGGACCATCTACAGATGTCGGCGGTGTCCGGGAGGGCTTTTGCACAATTGAGACTCGTGCGCCAACTGCGACTGTACCTCGCGAAGGCTGATCTGGCCGGGGTGGTCCATGCCTTAGTCACCTCTAGATTGGACTACTGTAATGCGCTCTACGTGGGGCTGCCCTTGAAAACGGCTCAGAAATTCCAACTGGTCCAACGGGCGGTGGCCAGGATGTTAACTGGTGTCCCTTACAGAGAGAGGTCAACCCTCCTGTTCAAGGAGCTCCACTGGCTGCCGTTTATCTTCCGAGCCCAATTTAAGGTGCAGGTGCTTACCTACAAAGCCCTAAACGGTTTGGGACCAGCCTACCTGTGTGACCACATCTCCATCTACGAACCCACGCGTTCATTACGCTCATCTGGAGAGGCCCTGCTCGTGGTCCCGCCTGCATCGCAAGCACGTTTGGTGGGGATACGAAACAGAGCCTTTTCCGTGGTTTCCCCCCCGTCTCTGGAACACTCTCCCCAAAAGATCTTAGACAGGCCCCTACATTGGCAGTCTTCAGAAAGAATTTGAAGACCTGGCTGTTCCGATGTGTCTTCCCCGACTAGGAAATCTCCAATACCAAGTCCCAGAAGCACTTTATTAGAATTTAAGACTGCCACACTCTGCACACTGCACTTGCCCTACAATATCACCTGTCACATCAGCACTTTTTAATCCTGTACCCTTTACTCTGGCCTGGCCCAGTTTTATCTTGTTGATGTATTGTTTATTGCATGTTGTTTTGTTGTTTTAATACTGCCTTAATTGTTTTTAATTTGCTTTGAGTGTATTGTTGTGTTGTGCATTGAGGCCTTGGCCTTTGTAAGCCGCATAGAGTCCTTCGGGAGATGCTAGCGGGGTACAAATAAAGTTTAATAATAATAATAATAATAATAATAATAATAATAATATACTCCCAACTGAAGAATGGAAAACAGAAGGTTGGTAGACAGGAAAAGAGATTTAAAGATGGGCTTAAAGCCAACCTTAAAAACTGTGGCAAAGACACCGAGAGAAAACCAGGAAGCCCTGGCCCTAGAGCAGCATTTCTCAACATGGGGGTCGGGACCTTAGAGGGGTCGTGAGAGGGTGTCAGAGGGGTCGCCAGAGACCATCAGAAAACACAGGATTGCCTGTTGGTCATGGGGGTTCTGTGTGGAAAGTTTGGTCCAATTCTATCATTGGCAGGGTTCAGAATGCTCTTGGATTGTAGGTGAACTATAAATCCCAGCAACTACAACTCCCAGATATCATGGATCTGTTACAAAAGCTACCTAAATTGTGCGGAGACGGCGAAATATTTTTGGGAACTGGCTTTCGAGAGCCATTTATAGCTCCGGAAAACAAAATTAGCCTTGCCAATGTCAACAAACGGGGCGAAAAGATAAGGGCAAGGATGTTTGTAGATGGGTTCATTTAAGCCTAACCTTCTGCACTTATTTGTTTCTTTAAGGAATCGGAAACTGCAGGCATGGAAGTGTTATTGTGGAGGGCCGCAACAGCCAGAATCCTCTAACTGTGCGTTCTGGGTGTTGCAATCCAAGAAGTAAGCTCCGCAAGATCTGCTCCAAACTTAGAATCATAGACCTTCTGGATCTCTTCCTCCTCAGTCCTGTAGTTACTCATTAGATCAGGCATGGGCCAACTTGGGCCCTCCAGATGTTTTGGACTCCAACTCCCAGCATTCCTAACAGCCTCAGGCCCCTTTCTTTTCCCCCTCAGCCGCTTAAGCGGCTGAGGGGGAAAAGGAAAGAGCCTGAGGCTGTTAGGAATGATGGGAGTTGGAGTCCAAAACACTTGGAGGACCCAAGTTGGCCCATGCCTGCATTAGATGCTTCAAGGTTAGTTGCATATGTTCAGAGACACTCTTGTCTTTATTGTTGAGT